ACTTCTCATTTTCAAGGCTCTTGTCTCCTTTGCAAAGTTTCTTGAACCACCACTGCGCTGCACATTCATTACCAGTTCCTGGGCCAAATGCATTGTTGATGCTGTGAGTTGTCTCTGCTGCTTTATGATTCATTTTGAACTCAAATAAGAAAATTGCTCAAATTTGCTTTTTGTCTAACATCATTTCCCTAGTCTAAAATAAATATAGAATAAACAGTAAGTAATAAGTCATTAGCAAAAAAATCATAAAGCAAGAAATGTGCATTAAAATGATGTGTAACATAACCACATTTATTTAAAATGTATTCCAATATTAAATGGCAAAATTCAACAATGAAAAAGCCACAATTACTTTTGCACCAATCTAACAGTAAATTATTACAGAAACATATCCTTAACTAGGGTCCTATGAACCTGAAGAAAGGTAACCTTTCCTTCTTTTTTTCCCCCCATCTTATGCTGAATGCCTATTTACTGAATTTTCATTGAATGTAACTTGATTAAATTGTTTTCAATTATGTTTATGTCCCTGTATGTCACAACAAGGCTACCTGGTTACAAAAACCAACACAAAGAAGAAAGAAGAAATAATACAACTTATTTTAATTTCATATTTCTTTAAAAAATAAACTTAGGAAAATCGATCTACTTTTCTGATGTAATTATTAAGAAATGTTGGATATTAATTCAAAGTTTTAATTGGATTGGAATAAACTTAAATAAGGTTTAATATTATTTTTGTATTATGAAAGTTTTCAAACAGACACAGAAATAGAATCATACAATAACCCAATAGATCTCTTCTTTAACTTCAACATCTATCAGCATTATATCATACTAGAATTTTAAAAATATGAAAAATGAGTCTTCATTCCCAAAAGGAGTCCTGTTTTAAGTACTACATCAAATCAGATTCATTAAATTGTAAGGCATATCTTGATTTCATACCAATTGGCTCACTGCAGAAAGAATCCACTTGCAATGCAGGAGACACAGGAGATGCAGTTTCATCTCTGGGCTGGGAAGATCCCCTGGAAAAGGAAATGGAAACCCACTCCAGCATTCTGGTCTGAAAAATCCCCTGAACAGAGGAGCCTGGTGGGCTACAGTCCATGGGGCTGCAAAGAGTCAGACATGACTGAGTGGTTATTAGCACTTGGTTAGAGCAAGGAACTCTGCTTGACCTATGGTCCAGGGGTAAGGTTGGGGGTGGAGGGGGATTCCCTATAGCATACAGTGGTGGGAGGGAAAAAAAGAAAACTTTTCCCTTTTATTTCCTATTTGTCCCCTTCTCAGGTTTATCTCACATAATAAAATAACTACCCTTAATATTAGTTACCACTTATTGTGTTGTCTTCTCTGTCCTAGCCAATTTCTTATTTCCTTTACAAATATTTATTTATTCAGTTTTCACCAACTCTACCAGCTAGTTCTCAACACATCCCCATTTTACAAATGAGGCAACTGAAGAACAAAATGGCTATGTGAGTTTCTGTGGTTGCACAGAATCTAGAGAACGGGGCTGGGATTCAAACCTAGGTCTGCCTAACTGACCAGATACATACAAGTTTCTACCCCTGCCCGGGGCTACACTGTCCCTAGTCCAGACTTGCTGACTCTTCTGTGAGACTCCTGTGCAAGTCTTCATGTAGAAGATGCTGTCATAGCCCTGCTCAGTCTACTTGGCAAGTAATACTTGCATGCACTTCTGAATACTAGCTACACTTCTGACTGTCAGAACCTGCATCTCCGCCTGTGGGCTCTTGCCCACCTCTGAAGTCAGTTCTTTCCCAGCACAGATAGACTGGAAGCTGCAGAGAATAGCCACTCCCTATTCACACACTAGTGACTGTGCGTGTGTGCTCGGTCGTGTCCGACTCTTAGCGACCCCACGGACTGTAGCCCACCAGGCTCCTCTGTCCATGGGACTCTCCAGGCAAGAATACTGGGGTGGGTTTCCATTTCCTCCTCCAGGGGATCTTCCTGACCCTGGGATGGAACCACATCTACTCATGTCTGCCTGCCCTGCAGGCAGATTCTTTACCACCCAGCCAACAGGGAAGCTAAGTATCCCAACTCCCTCATCCTTGAGAATGCTGACTCTGAAGTGCTAGCTCTGCCCTGGCTCCAGAGATTCTCAGCAGTGTTAAATTCTAGTCGTACACAGTGGAAACACACCCTTTAATGATTTTCTTCCTTTCTGTCTCATTTTCCCATCTCTTAACTTCTTGCAATCAAATTTTTGCCAGGATATGCATTTAAAGGATCTAAGTAAGGCTCTTTATATGCCTCAAGCTCCTTAACTGTAAAAAGTGAAGGTGTTGTATGAGGTGAATTTAAGAATTCTATAATTCTACTTTATGTAACCCAGACATCAGATGGCGACTTCTTGGCTCTTATGAACCAGATAAAATCACCTCAACACTATCCACCCCAAATTCATGGCCATGGAAATCCAAAGCCTTCTCAAGAGTTCTTAGAATTTCTGAAGACTTAAGCTTTTATGCTCACATCTACTTTCCAGGCTTCTGCCTTTTTAGATATTCTAGTCTGTACCATGTAAACCTAGGTAGGGATTTCAACTTTGAATTTTCTTAAAGTAAACCTTTCACGTGGCTTGGTGGTAAAGAATTGGCCTGCCAGTGCAGGAGACATAAGAGATGTGGGTTCTATTCCTAGATTGGGAAGATTCCTTGGCGAAGAGAGTGGCAACTGACTCCAGTAGTTTTACCTGGGGAATCCCATGCACAGAGGAGCCTGGTGGGCTACATACAGTCCATGGGGTCGCAGAGTCGACACAACTTAGCGACTAAATAACAACAAAACCAACAACAGCCAAAAATAATTGTTCTAAAAGCGCTTGTAACTTAGTTGGGCTTTGCTGAATTTCTGGAGAGATGAAGGAATGATCTGTGTTCTAGAAACACAAATAGCTACAAGCAGCACAACTTTATCACAGATCTTACAAGGTCCTGAGGACTCCACCACTGGGGAGCTTTACTGATCCTTACTCCTTCCAGTTTCAGGCCATCTCCCTTTCCTTCTTCCTCCTCTTTTTGGCTCTTCTCTCTCTCTCTTTCTCTCTCTCTCTGTTTCTCTCAGGAGCAAGAACATCCCACCATGCAATCCAGCATCTCCCTTCTGGAACATTCTGGCACATTTGTCATCTAAGCCTTAAAAGACTTGCTTAAATCAGCTGGCCTTATCAATTTAGTCTCCCAAATGATGACATGTTCCTACTTAGGGAGGCTTCTGGTTCAGTGATTCATTCCTTCACATTCCCCAACCCCTTCCCCTAGGAGTTAGAAATAGTTCTTTTCTTTCTCTTCCTCTAATGGGCACTGCTATTATCGCTTTGACTTACCAAAACACAAATCTTACATTAGCTTTCACTTTCTCTGTTTCATATTTCTAAGCTGAAGTTACAGTTGATTTATAAAATTATATTAGCTTTAGGTGTATAGCATAGTGATTCAGTACTTTTACAGATTATGCTCCATTAAAAGTTATTATGAGATAAAAAAATAAAATAAAAGTTATTATGAGATAATAACTATAATTTCCTGTGCTGTAGAATATATCCTGTTGTTTATCTATTTCATGAATAGTGGTTTACAGCTGCTAATTCCATGTTACCAATTTGTCCCTCCCCCTTCCCTCTCTCCATTTGCAACCAATATTTTATTTTCTATGTCTATGAGTCTGTTTCTGTTTTACATGTACATTCATTTGTATTTTATATTCCACCTATAAGGGATATCATACAATAATTGTCTTTCTCTGTCTGACATTTCATTAACAATTATATTTTCTAGGTCCATCCACATCTCTGCAAAAGGCAGAATTTCATTCTTTTTTATGGCTAAGAAATATTTCATGTATATCTATATATCACATCTTCTTTATGCACTCCTGTCTGTTGAATGACACTTAGGTTGCTTCCAAATTTTGGCTATTGTAAATAGTCCTGCTATGAATATTGGGGTGCACATATACTTTCTTGTGTTTTGCTTTTTTTTTTTAAAATTATTTTGTACTGCTTGAGCATGCGTGCTCAGCCGCTTCAGTTCTGGCCGACTGTTTGAGACTCTATGGACTGTAGCCTGCCAGGCTCCTCTCTCCATGGGATTCTCCAGGCAGGAATACTGGAGTGGGTTGCCATTCCCTTCTTCAGGGGATCTTCCTGACCCGAGTATTGAACCCAGGTCTCCTGTAGCTCCTGCATTGTGCAGATGAATTTTTTTACCTCTGAGTCACCTGGGAAGCCTATTTGGTTTTGGCCTTATAACCAACTGACAAACAGTGTTGTGATAATTTCCAGTGAAGAGTGAAGGAATTCGGCCTTACATATACATGTATCCATTCTCCCCCAAACTCGTATATCCTTCTGAGGTAGTGTTTTCTTTTTTTCAGATAAAAGATTCCTCTTAGCTCAAATAAATGTTTATCTTTTTAAAAAGCTAAAATACTGAGATTTTATAACTTCTAAATAGTTATAACTTCTAAATATTCTTTAAAAGTTCTTTGTAAAGCCAATTATAATTGTTTTTAAAAATATCAATTGTATTAAAAACAAGTCATTACAAAACTGATAAAATGGGATTTCCCTGGTGGTCTAGTGGTTAGGACTCCTGAGCTTTTACTGCCGAGGTCCGGAGGGAGAGAAGACACAAAAAGTGATAAAACTTATGATCACCAGGGTAAGAACCACTTCACTTGTTAAAAAATTCATTCTGAAAACAATAACCCCTGACTGTCAATGACACCGATATTGAATATTGTTAATTATATTTCTAAGAGGAAAATTTTCAAATTAGCTGCCTATTATGCCACAATTTTCTAAAAGGGAATGAGATAAAAGAACACCTAGAAAATACAAACTGTGTCATTAGTAATAGTGTGACACGCACTGACGTTAACTTCGTATCAGAGACTGTTTTAGATCAATGTCTTAATCCTCATAACACTTCACTCTTATTTTCAATTTACAGACCGAGAAAGTCAGGGTTGAAGAGGCTAAACTCCTTGTGTCCCTCCATCACGGTGGTACTAGAAGCAGAATTTGTGATGATCAAACTCCAAAGGATTTACTTACCCACTTCACCACCTTTCGTTTTTAGTGAAGTCTCTGCACAGTCAGGCTAGCAATGTGTGAGCTATGAAGCTTTGTCCTGCTTCTACAGATAAAAGGTAGAATCTCAAAACTCTTGGTTGCTTATGAAATACCTTTGTGAATTTGTCATATCCTCAAAGTAGCTGTACTTTTTATTCATTTAGGATTTAAAAAAAAATTGACCAAGTTTTAAAAACTTAGCTTTACCTAAAGAATACCCAGGAGACTGATGCCCTTGTTACATTTTCTAATTCATAACAAATTAAATACCCTCTCCTAAAATTTAGGAGAGGTTACCCTCTCCTAAAATTGAATCTTGTGTCAATATAAGTCCAGACACCAGTGCTGGAGAAACACTGGACTAAGACCAAGATCAAAACCAGGCTGAATGGCTGCTTTCCATCTCCTCTCCCTGGTCTTGGCCTGCTGCATCTTACCACTGCAATGTTTATTGGGTATATGTGTGTTTGTGTGTCCATGCTTGAGTATCCACCTTCTCTAGGGGGAGGGAACAGTGTGATGGGGTAAGATGGGGAGGGAAAAGGTCAAGAGATTATGTCTTCATTGCAGCTTACAAAAAAGATAGGAACATCCAGCGAGTTGGTCTCTATGGACTTACCTGTAGACTTCACCATGGGCATGCTAAGGTGGAGGCAGCCAAAGCTAGTCATTGGATGGTTATTAGGGCACAGAGACACTTGTAGGGGGCACCTGCAACACAGACAGCAAGCTGTGTTGGGGGATCGAGTGCTCTTCCCGCAGAAGTGAGGTGGAGTGAAAGTCACTCAGTCATGGCCGACTCTTTGCGACCCCATGGACTATACAGTCCATGGAATGCTCCAGGCCATAACACTGGAGTGGGTAGCCTTTCCATTCTCCAGGGGGTCTTCCCAACCCAGGCATTGAATCCAGGTCTCCCACGTTGCGGGTGGATTCTTTACCAGCTGAGCCACAAGGGAAGCCCATGAATACTGGAGTGGGTAGCATGTCCCTTCTCCAGGGGATCTTCCCGACCCGGGAATTGAACCAGAGTCTCTTGCATTGCAGGAGGGTTCTTTACCAACCAAGCTATCAGGGAAACCCACAGAGTCCCTCCCTTTGTCCAATCCTACCCCACTGAAGCAAAAGGATTGGCTTTAGAACTTTGCCTCCACTGTGCACTGACTTAAACCATGTCTTGAATGTGACTAGAAACTACTGGTCAAAAATATGATAATAAAATACTTCTGAGCCTAAAGCTTTGTTTCTAGATATACTCAAGATGTACCAAGGCCTGAACTTATACATATTTATCACTGCCCTGTTGGTGAAACCATGAGAAAGTGAAAGTGAAAGTCGCTCAGTCATGTCTGACTCTTTGCAACCCCGTGGACTATAAAGTCCATGGAATTCTCCAGGCCAGAACTGTGGAGTGGATAGCCTTTCCTTTCTCCAGGGGATCTTCTCAACCCAGGGATCGAACCCAGGTCTCCCGCATTGCAGGCAGATTCTATACCAGCTGAGCCACAAGGAAGCCCGAAACCATGAGAAGGATTTTAATAAAAGATCAACTCAACATCCAATACATCAAAACACAAAGTTTTTTTTAAAAATAATAACTTTGTTAGGGGACTTTCCAAATATATATATACACAATAATGGAAAGTAAAACAATAAAACTCCATGTATCGGTCCCCCAGCTTCAAAACTTAACAATCATTTTCATCTGTTCCTCCTTCTATTTTTTACAAGATTATAGAATTCTTCAGTATGTACCTCTGATGACATTCCTGTTTTATACGTAATTGTGATGTCATCATCACATCTAACATAATTAACAATAATTCTTTTATAGTGTCTAATACTTAGTTTATAACCCGTTTGTCCTGACTGTCTCAAAGGTTCTTTTCATAGGTGGTTTGGTCAAAATAGAATGCAAAGTCTATTTTCTTTTTCTTTTTTATTTTTGTCCATACCTTGAAACATGTGGGATCTTAGCTCCCTGACCAGGGATCAAACCCTTGCCCCCTGCAGTGGAAGCACTGAGTACTAACCCCTGGATTGCCAGGGAGGTCCCATTTTGATGATGATTCTTTTATAATTGGCCCCCTGCTTTTTCATGACATTGATTTGGTAGAGAAGCAAGGTCATTTTTCTTACTGGCTGTTCAACATTCTAGATTTGACTGATTGTTTCCCTGAAGAAGTTTTTAAACTTAATCCTCTGTTGTATTTCCTTTTAGGTCTGGAGGCTTGATTAGATTCAGAGTTAGGCAAAAAGACCTTATAGTGGTTCTGGGTACTGATTTTGTCTTATCATGAATTACATGTCTGGGTATTGGATTTTTGGTTTTAATTGTTTTTTTCTTGTTCTTTCTTACTTAGTCGCTTCCTCTCTTTGGCAAAATTCAAAATTATGCTTCATTTATTATCTTTGTCCAACAACAAAAAAAAGTTGAGATTTACATAGACAAGATGACTAGGTGGAAATCCAGTGGTTCTGAGTCTCTTGGATAGTCTGTATTTGAAGCAAGCTTTTCCTGCTTCATACACAAAGGGATTGACTGTACAAGGGAAACTGTGTAAGATATGAACACTTAGGGATTACTGAATGTAAAATTACAAAAAGCCCGTCACTAATTACTATATTTAGAAGCTAAATTATTAAAAGTCAGGATGAAAATAGCTGAAATGTAATGAGTCATTTGCTAATTATTTAGCTTATGGATTTCCAATGCCATTTGCTTCCAGCTCTTTTCCTCTTCTTTAGGGAATTTTTGGTGGCATTTCACTGCCTTTTAACACCTCCAGAAACTACTGTATGCTGATAACTAACCATAAATTGTACATGTGGAGAGACACATAAGAGATTATGACTCAGGATCCGTGCTGTGTCATTGACTGAGATAAACAATGAGTGGATTGCACCAGAGTTGATTTTCAGAGCAGAAAGTAGTTCAAATTCTGATGACTATGTAGCATTTTTTCTATTGCTTGGTAAAGAAATGGAAAGATAAATCATAAGGTCGATGAGCTCAGTGAAGAGATGCAGTTTACCACCATGCTGCTCAGGTAGTAGATGTGTACAACTATGGGTCTAGCCCGTGGGTTTGTTTGCAGCCACGACTGTACCTGGGCAGCTTTTAAACTCACTGATGTTTGGACTCTACCCCAGAACTGAGTCTGGGTCTCTGAGGGTGGTTTTCAGGTGTTGGTATTGTGTAGAAACTCTTCAAGTGATTCTAATATGCAGCCAGGGCTGAAAAGCCTCAGTCTAGCCAGCAAATAAGAGGTACTGTGTGTAGGTCCTACTCTGTAAAAAGACTGCGCTGGAGGGACTTCCCTGGGGGCCCAGTGGTTAAGACTCTGTGCTCCCACTGCAGGGGGCCTGGGTCTGATCCCTGATTTGGGAACTAGATCCCACATGCCACAACTGAGAGCCTGTATGCCGCACCTAAAAAAATCCTGCATGCCGCAACAAATATCTGGAGTGCTGCAACTAAGGCCTGGCACAGCCAAAAAAAAAAAAAGTTGTGCTGGAAATCTCTTGCACTTAAGGAAAACGACGCTTGGAGAGATGTTCTTCATTCATTCTTTTGCTCTGAAGTGTTTCACACCATTCTGTCTGGATTCAGAATTATGGCTTTTGAAACCTTTTTGAAAGTGACCCCAAGTAAGACATGAAATTTACATCATAACTTAGAACACAGAAGATAATGAAACTAGTTTATCAAATAATCTTATTCAGTATGATGCACTGTGATATTTTTCATTTTGTTTAATTTAAAAAATACTGGTCAAGCCAACTACTGAAGCCCATGTACCTAGAGACTGTGCTCCATAACAAGAGAAGCCACCGCAATAAGAAGCCCGGACATCCCGACTAGAGAGTAGATCCCTGCTCACTGCAGCTCGAGAAAGCCCACGTGCAGGAAGGAAGACCCAGCACAGCCAAATAAATAAATAATTCTTTAAAAAAAATCCTGGTTAAAGTCTACTAAAATAATTTCATGACCTGCAGTTTGAAATACTCTGCTAAACCATGACAGTGCAGATTTCCTCACCGTCCAAATGTCCGTCCAGTCCAAACACATGGCAAGAACTTTCACCCGTCCGGGCCTTCAGTTTTCTCTTTTCTGGCTGTGCGGGGTCTTAATTTAGACATGCCGGCTCCAGTTCCCTAAGCAGGGGTCAAAGCCAGACCCCTTGCCTTAGGAGTGCAGAGTCTTAGCCACTGGACCACGAGGGAAGTCCATTTCTGCATTTTTTAAAGACCGTCAAGTTGGTTCCTGGCTGGAAAGCATTTCCGAGACTACTTCAGCTCATTGTGTCTCTTATTTCAATGCCTATAGTTAACATAGACTCATCATGCCTTTCTGTACACTACTGTGATATACTGTGATGCTCTGAAAATTTGTCCTATATCATGGATGGTCATGTCTCCTTGATTAAATCTAACCTCTTGAGGGCAGTGATCATGTTATATGCTTTTACTTCTTTACTTTGTGAAATGTCTAGCACAGAGCAGGGCAGATCACAAACTCTAAAAACAGCCCTATGACCCTTGACATCTCAATCTCTGCTTTTAAATCTTCCTCTTTAAAATAAAGGGGGATGTTTTAGGTTAATCCTGAAGGTTCCTCCAGGTTTGTAAATTTATTTGTCTGGAATATCTATGAACTAATTCTATAAATACAGAAATGAAGGAAGAATACATTAAACATTTTTATCAGCAACCAAAGAGAAGTTCTTGTGTGGGAAGAAGGCTGAAATTATTTGGCATTTTTGATAGGCAAAATATAAACTCCTCCGTGCTATCTCTGAAAAGATAATGAAGAACTTATTGGAGTTTGGAAATGGAGCTGGGCCCTGTGTCACTTAGATACTGAAATGTGATTATTCATAGGATTCATTTCTTTTTCAAGTTGAATGTATATTCATGGACTCTTATCTTATTATAATTGATTATATAATAACAAGGCTTAGCAATGAATGTGGGGTTGAGGGTGTGTGGAGACAGAAGTAGCATGATTTAGGGAAAAAAAATTATTGAATACAATTACAGTTTAAATATTTTTTTTTTTCGCAAGTTGTTTGTT